GGTCCGGGCGGGGTGCTGTGTGCTGCGAGCGGCGCCGAGATCGCACTGCTCCCTGCGGCGTTAACTCTGTAGGGATCGCAGTTAGAGTTTGAGCGGTTGGAGTGGATCTCACAGATGATCTACTCCCACTCCCCTGCCCTGGGCAGGGACACCTCCCACTAGACCAGGATGCTCAAGGCCTCATCCAGCCTGGCTTTAACACTGCCAGGGTTGGGACAGCCCTGAGCAACCTCTTACAGTGTCTTACCACCATCACAGTAAAAAAGTTTCTAATATCTAACCTAAACTTTCCTTCCTTCAATTTGAACCCATTACCTCTTGTCCTGTCATTGCAGTTCCTAATAAAGGAACTCTGGCTCCCTTGTAGGCCCCTTCTGAAAACAGCCACTGTTAAATGGTAGTGGGGTATTTTAAGAGAAAGTCAAGAGCAAAGAGTAGTTTAAAAATATATTCCCGGGGTTGAGGGGTTTTTTTTGTGTGTTTATGGCCAATATTATGGTCTAATACCATGGTGGTATTAGACTGAATCACTCAAATCTGAGGTATTAGGAAAACTAGTGATGATGGGGGGGAAGGGCATGGTTTCTTGTCATTATTTACCTACAGACCTCTTTGGTACTTTCTATTTTGGTACTTTGGATTTGGTACTTTTATGCTGTGTAAGTTGTTGGAGCTCAGTATAGGTTAAAAAAATTCTCTAGCCTTTTAGATACAGGTCAGGCTTCATGACCAAATAGTTTCTTTTGAGCTTAAACTCTATATCTCAATGAAAGCTTCACCTTGTTTGATCAAGGTGGTACCATAACTGAGTGTCTGCCAAATGACCTGGGAAGAATGGAAAAGGGAAGAGGGTGATAGATAAGGAAATCAGTAGGGGTTGGGACTGCTCTATATGTCTCATAACTTCCTAGATTTTTGCAGTAACTCCTTTCATGACAGAAAGAAATCCTTAACACACCACTGTTGACAGTTCGTGAGGCATCTGTGGAGGATCTTCTCTTGACAGAGCCAGAACCAGGCCATCCTGGGAAATGCCAGGTCACAGGAGTCGTTCTGGGTACGTGCTAATATCTCAGTCAGTGCCTTCAGTTACTTCCACGGTAAGAACAGCCTTTGGGGCAAACATTTCTGATCCATCAGTCAGAAAGATGAACTGGCCAATAGAGGTGATGTAGGCAGAATGCAAACTAAACTAGGTTAATATATGTAATATAATGACAGAAATACTTGGATTGATAGGATATTGGGAGTTTACCTAAGTTAGTTTCCTTTAGGCTGGTGAAAGTGAACTCCATGCTGTGTTTTGAGATCTATTTGGTAGGTGGCATATGCTGCCAACAATGTTACGGGGCCTATTGCTAACAGATTTATTGCCCCTTGCTGTTCTATTAAACAAGCTTTCCAAAACAAAGGCCTGGATAGGAGTTTTTCCCAGGAGTGGGTTTACTGTGTTAGGGGTGACTTGCTTGGGAATAATAAAAACACAGAAATAACTACATGCTGCTTATTGCAGTTACAAGTGTTAATGCTTTTATCATTGAAATGCTGGTTTTGTTATATAACAGAAGGTGGATAAACCCTCAGCAAACACTGTTGGCCTAGTTTTAGACAGAAGCACCAGAACACCAGGGTTTTGGTGGTACTGAAGTATGAAACTTGCTGTTTCAGGGGATGGGAGCACAGTACGTGCCGGGAGCGTTGTCCTGACCACGGGCACATTCCTGCGGGGTATGATCTACATGGGGCTGGAGATGCACCCAGCTGGGCGGCTCGGGGACCAGCCAGCCATCGGCCTGGCTCAGACTCTGGAGAAACTGGGATTTGCTGTGGGCAGGCTGAAGACTGGGACACCACCCCGGCTTGCCAAGGATACGATCGACTTCAGTGGTCTGGAGGAACGTGCAGCTGACAATCCTCCGGTGCCGTTCAGCTTCCTCAGCGAGGCTGTGTGGATCAAGGTGGGATAGCACACATCAGATGCACACAGGGCTGGGTGGGGAGTGGTTCTGGGAATGCTGTGCTCATAGTCAGCCGGGGAGTTGGTGGCTGGGACTGGGAGCTGGGATGTGTTTGTAGTGGAGATGTTGTTTCCAAGGACTCTGAATGCAAAGGGAGAAGTTGCTTGTGTTCTTTTGAAAGCAAGTGTGTGTTTACTCTTGCTTCTCAACTTGAGAACAAAACTTTCCTTTTAGCATCAGAACTTGTGAAATGTGATATTGCTACTAGTATTTTTCATGTGCTGATTACATGAGTGGTTTGCAGAATACTTCAGTATTACACATGTATACTGGAGATGTACAATGTCTTGCTTCTTAACCTTAGCTCTAGAATAAGGTTAAAATGTTGAATTTAGAGATCATTGACTAGGGAGGAGAAAGGATGGAGCTATCCACAGTGCTCAGAGGTGGCATGTTAACAGTAACTTAAAAGCAGAAGCTGCTCAGTTTTGCAGAGAATGTCTTGGAAAATGCACTGTTCTTATATCATGTAGTTAAACAGCACAGTATTAAGTATGAGGAGTTAATTTGCCCCAGATCATGTAGGAAGTGTGATAACCTATTATAATCAGGATGGGAGTGAAAGTAGAATGAGGTCACCCCTGAGTCACAAACCCAATTCCCTCAGTGGTTCCTCATACAACATGTTTTCTAGACTTTTTATTAGCCTTGTTGCCCTTGGCTGGACTCGCTCCAGTGCCTCAATGTCCTTTTTAAAGTGAGGGGCCCAAAACTGAACACAGCACTCAGGGTGTGACCTCACCAATGCTGAGTACAGGGGAATGATCATTTCCCTAGTCCTGCTGAGCACATTGCTCTTGATACAGGCCAAGATGCCATTGGCCTTCTTGGCCAACTCTGCACTTTGTTGCTCATATTGAGCTGCTGTCAACCAGCACTCTCAAGTCCCTTTCTAACGAACAATACTCAAGCCATTCATTCCCCAGCCTGTAGCTGCATGGAGTTGTATTCCAAGTGCAGGACTCAGCACTTTGCCTTATTGAACCTCATGCAGTTATTCTCAGCCCATTGATCAAGTCGGTCCAGGTCTCTCTGTAGAGCTTTCCTACCCTCAGACAGATTGACACTCCTACCCAACGGCAAATTTACTGAGAGTGCACTCAATTCCCACATCCAGATCATCAGTAAAGATGTTAAACAGGACCAGCACCAGTACTGAGTCCTGGGGAACACCACTAGTGACCATCTGCCAATTGGATTTAGCTCCATTAACCACAGCTCTGGGCTCAGCCATCCAGCCAGTTCTGTACCCATCAAAGAGTCCACACATCCAAGCCATGAGCAGACAGTTTTTCTAGAAGTATGCAGTGGGACACAGTGTCAAATGCTTTACTGAAGTCCAGATAGACCACATCCACAGCCTTCCTTTCATCCACGAAGTGGGTTGGTTTGTCTTAGAAGGAGATCAGGTTGATCAGTAATATCACTTGAAGTCCTTGGTATGCGTAAGAAAGATTTTAAGGTGCAATACTGTTACTCTTTACAGATTTAGAGAATTACTATTGACTCTTTTTCAGAAAAATCAATGAAATTTTTTAGATGGTGGGGTTTTTTCCAAACCTTGAATTTTTCATGTTAATTGCAGAGTTTAAAGAGATTTCTGGGGTTTTTTTCTCCAAGAGATTTTTTTTTTTATGCTCCAGATTCGTTAATTGGCTGTTAGCTGTAGGGTCAGCAGTTACTCTTCTTATTCCAGAGCTTTGAATGTCTGTGGTCAGTTTGAATGCTGTGATGTAATACGTTGCTTTATTGGGAATACGCATCCTGTAATTAGGAGTACAGTGTATAGAAAGAATAGAACTTGAATTCTGAACTCCCAGGTTGGTTCTGTTCTGTTCTTGGTCTGCTTTTCCGGCATGTTGCTCAAGCTCTCTGACTGCTCATGTTCTGTCTGTACAGTGGGTGTGACAGTGCTACCCATCTCTCCAAGAAGTGAGAGCCAACTGTCATGGAAAAGGTCTTGGAGATCCTCGGAGTTGTTCAGTAAGAGAGTAGGGTGTCATGACTGGATTAATTTAAAGTGAGCTTTGGCCTGTTTCAGCCAGAAGATCAGCTGTCGTGTTACCTGACTCACACTACCCTGAAAGTCCAGCAAATTATCCATGATAACCTCCACCTGAACAACCACGTAAGGGAGACAACGAGGGGCCCACGGTAAGTGCGTGGCATCACACAATGCTCTCAAGGAGACAAGCCAACAACCTGTTTGAAACTGTGGTTCTCTTCTGCTTTACTTCTGGCAGGTTACTTTTCTCCAGGTCATATGGTACTCATGGCTACTTACTGTTGCAGGTACTGTCCCTCTCTGGAATCAAAGGTTCTGCGCTTCCCAAACCGACAACATCAGGTGTGGCTGGAGCCTGAAGGCTTGGAGTCCAATGTCATTTACCCCCAAGGCATATCGATGACTTTGCCACCTGAGCTCCAGGAGCAGGTGATCAAATCCATCCCAGGCTTGGAAAAAGCTAAGATGTTACAGCCAGGTGAGGGGGTTGAATAGTTTAAAATCTATTTGTCGTATTGGTTACTAGTTAATAAAAACCTGATTTTGTTTAGAGCATAGCAAAACAAAGGCAATAGGAAACAAAATTAAGTCTTGGATGCAGAGAATTTTCCTTGGTTATTTTGAAATCAAAGTAGATAAGCCATTCTGACCCACTGATTGCCTTTGCTGACCTTCAAATTCCCTCTCATAAGATCTGTCGTGTTGTTTGTCGTAGGCTACGGGGTGCAGTATGATTTTTTAGATCCTCGTCAGCTGACTGCTGCTCTCGAGTCACGGCTGGTTCAGCGCCTGTTCTTTGCAGGGCAGATAAATGGTACAACAGGCTATGAAGAAGCTGCAGCTCAGGTGGGTGAATCTGTCTGTGTATACTCCGCACTCAGAAGGGGATATTGCCTTGGTATTTGTGATAGAGTTCGGTAAGGGGAGAGCTAGGCCCCTCTTGTGTTCATTAGATGTTCCTAGTTTTGTTTCTCAACCCAATTACAGACTTGCTCAAGATATTTTTACTTTCAGTATCTGCAGTTGCTATCACTAGTATTGCAGATAGGAAAGTAATTGGAAGCGCTGTCAAGTGTTGTAGCATGGAGACTGTGCAATGGGTATAGTGGGAAATGTGGGAATTGTCTCCACACCCATCAGCAGGGGCCAAGAAGCCCTTCAGGCACTCATAGTGTCACAAGAAAGGCAGTGCCTAGATTGCTAGCACAGGCTGTGCATTTTCCTGGGTACAGTTTGACACGTGAGTCTTTGGAGGCAGATGTGCTGATATTTTAGCTACGAACAGACTGATAAATGTTTCTGGTTTGTTTTCCACCTGTGTAGGGTGTGATTGCTGGGATCAATGCCTGCCTGCGGGCTCATGGCAAACCCCCTTTCACTGTCAGTCGCACGGAAGGCTACGTTGGTGTCCTGATCGATGACCTCACCACCCTGGGCACCAGCGAGCCGTACCGCATGTTCACCAGCCGCGTGGAGTTCCGCATGTCCCTCCGGCCCGACAACGCTGACGCCAGGCTCACTCTCAGAGGTGTTTCATTGTGGGGGCTCTTGCAGGGAGCAGCCCTGCCTGCTTTTAGGCCTTTTTCTCATGCACCACCTGTCTCTGCAGGTTTTGAAGAAGCTGGGTGTGTGTCACAGCAGCGATATGAGCAAGCAGTTAAGATGAGAGCTGCTTTGGAGGATGGAATTGCAACGCTAAAATCACTTCAGCTCAGCATATCCAAGTGGTCCAAGTTGCTGCCACAAGTTCCCATCAGTAGCAATCGCAGGTCGCCTGTCAGGTAAAGGTTGCAGCTAGAGCTTTCTGGTCTGACTTCGCTTGCTTTAGCACATCTGGGTGGTGGTTTCCCATCATTTTTCTGTCCATCCGGAAGCTGTCAATACTCCAAGATTGCAGCTTTATCACCTTCACCTTCCTGAAGCTGTCAGTACTCCAAGACTGCAGCTTTATCACCTTCAGGGGACACACATGTGATGTTTGCCTGTAGAATAAGTGTGCAACATTGGTGTTTTTACTACCCCCATTTCCTGATGCTGACATGCACTCCCAAAGCAAGGGGGTACTCCACTGACCCAGTCAGTTCTTGCTGTCCTTAGACAGTCACTGAGTGGGGACAGTTTTGCAGTTGGTTGCTGCTTTGCTGAAGGCTTGATAAAGCAGCAGTTATTTCAGGCTGGTGTCAGATGGTAGCTGTTCTTGGACACAAAGGCCCTTACTTCCCTTACTCATCCTTTATCTCACCTTATCTTTTCTGTTGTTTTAAATCAGTGAGTAAGACATGGAAGACTCAGTCTGTGTGAAAAGTTCCACTTAGTGCCTTCACCTTGTCCCTTCTGTCTTGCTATAATTTTTCATAAAGACCCCCTCTGTGAGAGCTTAACAGCTCTTCTATCTATTGAGAGGAGATAATTGAGAGTTGAGGTTGACTCTGCAGTTGTTCTGGCTTATGCTAATAAAAACTTCATAAATATGAGCTGGGAACAGCTATAAATGCCTTACACAAGTGACTCCTTTTTGCCATAAAAATTTATTCTGGTTGTCCACAGTGCCTTTGACGTCCTTCAGTATCCAGATGCCAACATGGAGGTTCTGGCACGGCTTTTCCCAGAGCCCCTGGGCAAGTTTGCTCAACAGAGAGAACTGGCAGAGAGATTGAAAATAGAAGGTAAGAGTGCCAGAGCTACAATGTCTTGGTGTGATCCTTGTATGTTCTGTTCAGTAAGGGGAGAGCGAACCCATTTGTCTAGACTGTTCAATGTTGTGGCTTAGAGAAGTGAAATATTGATCAGAGTGTGTATCTTTTACCATAGGCCACAGCCCCTCGTGTGTTTCACTTTGTAGGGTGAAATCAATTATTCATGTTCACTCCTGGGTTTTCCCTCCTTACTGCCCTGTCAAACAGACCATCCTTTGCTGGGATGAGAAGAAAAAAACAAACCATGTATCTAAATTCCTGTAACAAATCAAAGAGTGTGACTTCTTCCAAAGTAGTAATGTGAATTAGGGTCTTTAGTCTGTGTGGCTGAAGACTTCCTCAGGAGCTTTTGACAGTCTCATTGGAGTTGCCCATTCAGCTTCCAAGAATTCTTGCAAGTGACCTGTTCCACGTGACCACCTCTGTCTGGTTTTCTTGTTTCCCTGATGATCCTAGCTGCTTACGAGTGGTGTGTAGACAATCAGCAGCAGGAGATAGAAGAAGTGCGACGTGACGAAGCTCTCCAGCTGCCAGAGGACTTAGATTACTTTGCCATTGATGCATCACTCTCAGCAGAGGTGCGGGAGAAACTGGACTCCAACCGCCCCCAGACGGTAAGATATTCGTCCACCTAAGCAAGGCTGAACAGCAGTGAAGTCCCTTTGGTCTTCCCAAGGGACATGCAGGTTGAAAAGAATCCGGGAAAGGAATACCCACATGTTTTGATCTCATTTTTCAGTAGCTCTGGTGTGTAGGTTGTGGTTGAATTGTTCCTGTTTCCATGTGCAGATCGGTGCCGTCAGCCGTATCCCTGGAATTACACCTGCTGCGATTGTTAACCTGCTAAGATATGTGAAAACCAATCACCGGAAGACAGAGAAGCTAAAAGCTTTACCTCAGACTGGGAAATACTTACCAGGGAAAATGTACTCTGAGAAAGCAACATCATGAAGACAGATTTCAGCAGGTTTCTGAAGAGGAAACAAAACACCTTTGTAGAGAACTGCACTGCTTCTGCCAGACAACATGGCAAGATCACCAGTGCTCATAAGCCTCTTCATGAATAACACACACACTGGATCCAAAGCAGTTCTGGTTGTGTTCTCTGGCAGTGTCAAAGAGTACAGCAAAGATGATGAATGCACTGAGTGCTCAGAAACCTAAGTACAGCCTGTGATTTGACAATGCAAATGAAGAGACAAGAGAACTGTTTAAAATTCCACTCATTTAGAAGATGTTGGATAGTCAAAATCTGTTCTAGAGCATCTTGTAAAGGACAGTGTTTAGGTCTTCTGAAACGAGTGAGATATGTTAACGAGCTGAAGCCATGGCAGCACAAGAGGATTTGAGCTGAGAAGTGTGTTCCACTGACTGTACTTGTGTTCATGGCTGTGCAGTGACTGTGCACAGTTGGGTGTCTCAGTGTGGTGTCAGCCAAGAGGAGACACTTGGCTATGGAAACGGGTGCCATGCAAATAGGAATATTTAGCAGGAGACTGAATGAATTTAAATGCCATATCCTGTGGGTGTTTTTCTCCTTCAAAGTAAATAAAGCTTATATTGAAACTTGATGACAGACTTGGTTGTCACTTAGCTTTCAGTAGGGCCTTAAGAGTTCACTGGATCACAGTGCATGCAGCTAAGGTGGAGTAAGACTCACTACGGAGCTGATGGAGGCAGCCAGAATGAGCCTGACTGCCACAGGCTGAGTGCTGAGGAAGGTGGGGCCCAAGGGGGAACCTGCCCCAGGTTAGCCCCAGAACCTTAGCTGAGGCAGTGTGAAGCTCAGTCTGAGGTGCTAGGGGCCAGGCAGCCCAGGGAAGCAGGACCCAAGGGTTTCTCATCAGCACTGGTCCTGCAACTGTTGGTAAGATGACTTAGATCGGAGTGAGATACACTTTGAGCAGTCAATTTGTCATGTGCCAGAAAGAAACACTGAACTCAAATTGTTGCTGGGCACCTACCGAATCCTTTCCTGACTGGGCAGCAGTCTGGTGCTAGTCTCATTTCTGTACATCCTCTGAATGGGCTGGGCAAACAGGCTTGAGGATACATTTTGTTGCAGTTAAATAATCTTAACAGGCTGGAAAACTGAGTCCTTAAGATCATCGAGTCCAACCATAAACCATATGTAGAAGTATATATGTGTATAGATATATCTATATATAATCTATTCAAAGCTGTGGAACTTCTGATCAAGAAAGCTTTATGCTTGCTTAATTTTCATCTTTGCATTTTGCCTGGGTTTGATGTACTTATTGTCTGTAAAAATGTAGATCTAGTTTTTACAGGCTAGGAAGGAAACCCTTTTGACACCTTCATCCTCTCTCTTTTAAGCTGATTGTGCAGTCTCAAAACTGCATTTCCTAGTTCTTGTCAGCAGTGATTTGACAGGAAAACCTTGCTTTCAATAATGCAAGTCTTTAAAGGCAAGTGCCTTGCACCCTGCTACAAAAGCAAACACTTTTTCCTCAACTTTCTGTGCTAGGTTTATTTCTGTGCTTTTGGTCTCACACATGCCAGCAGAAATCAAAGGGTGATGCCGCTGAGCTGGGCTGCACTAGTGTGAAAGGAAGAGCAGGAGGAGGGGACTTTTGCTTTTCCAGCTTCTAAAAATGTATTAATGCACAGCTGTGGCCTAAGAAGGGGGAGAGAGTTAACTTCAGGGGAAGTTGCAGTCAGAAGTGTGTGGATGCACTGCTTTCCAGCAGATCCTCTGTAACAACTGTTCTCTCTATTTCAGCGTGAAGTGAGTCTTTGGCCACTGGTGAGCTCCCTTGTTCAGACAGGGTGTGCTCTGTTCACGTATGTGGGTTAATGATGTCCATATTTGCTGAAATGGAAAACCTGGCATGTGCACAAGTTTGAGGACTGGCTGTCCCTCAGGTATTAGTTTCACGTATACAGGGCTTTGCCACAACATCTTGTGCTCATTGAACAGTTCTCAGCTGAGAAGACTTAATGTGGAAAGAAATCATAGCTACAAGTAGTTCTATTCATTTTGTGAAGAAAATCAAGCACAGAAAGGCTAAATAATCTGCTGTGAATACCATGGGCAGATAGAAATCACACCTTGTGGAATCTGTGTTCTAACTACCAAGGATTTGTTACAAGCCCCAAGATTTGGTTTGCATGTGAAGCCAAAGTCCTCACGGACCCTGTAGTCTCGCTAAGGTCAACAGGATACTAAGGGCAGAACTGGAGGAACCTGCTTTTAACATGGGTGTCTGTTTGGTTTTCCTTGGCTGCACAGTAATGGATTGCACTTTGTCCTCCTGTAATCCTTGCTGTGACCAGACAGCAGGGGTAGGATGCATGGTGAGATCGACCTAACTCGTTGCACATACCAAGGGTCTTTGTGTTCCCTATTTCTGTGTGTGTGTGTGTGTGTGTGTGTTTTTCTGTACCTCCTGCAGAATACAGGTCTGGTGATCGGTACATTTTCCTCAGATCTCTACCCTTCTATCTAGTACCAGATTTTTAAGACAACTGTTGTCTTTGTTTCCTATTCTAGTTTTCATTTCATGTGGTACTTGGACTGACCAGTTTCTTAATCTTTTCTTTATTTCCTCCTGAAAGATGCGAGCAAGAGAAAAATGGGATGACATTTTACACAAGCAAATAATAAAAGCTGCCACCACAGCAGCCTTTGGTGGTCCCAGTGCTGCTGGGGTGTTTGCAGTGGTGCAGCAGTGGCTGAACCATGTGGATCACCTTAGTCCCCACTTGGCTGGGGAACTGCAGTGATAGGACAAGGAGTAATAGGTTCAGATTGAAGGAGGGGAAGGTTAGGTCAGAAATTAGACAAAAGTTTTTTACTCTAAGGGTGGTGAGACACTGGCACAGGTTGCCCAGGGACGTGGTGGCTGCCCCAACCCTGGTGGTGTTCAAGGCCAGGTTGGACAAAACCTTGAGCAACCTGATCTAGTGAGATGTCTCTGCCCAGGGCAGGGGTTTGGTACTAAATGATCTGTAATGTCCATTCCAACCCCTAAAATTCCACGATTCTATGATCTGTGAATCACAGGCTTGAACATGTCCTTGTCTTCACCTTCCCTATTTGCGTCCCTACAGAGTCAGTGCCTTAGGGTCAGCAAAGTCCCTACGAGTGGGTTGCAAAGGGCTCCCTGGGTCAGCAAAGGCCAATGCTGTGGTAGAGATGAGAGGTGGAAGAAGTGAAGTAAGGCATTTTTGTCTAGCACCATGTGCAGCTCCCAGCACCAGCCCCAGGAGGCACATTTTCAGGCACCGCTGGGGACCGATAAGCACACGCTGTTCTTGTTCCAAGTGACTTGATGTGGTTAACTGAAGAGCAGGCATGGAGCCAGGTGGGAAATGAGCTCACTCTGCCTTAGGGGCAGCAAGTTGAGAGGGGAGCTGGCAGCAGCCTCGTGGCTAGTCTCCTCGCTTGCAGCTTCATGGGACATAACTTGAAAATTGCCGTGTGTGACCAGGTGGTGGCCTGAGCCACAAACGAATGGGACTTTCAGAGACACAAGTGGAAAAGCTGCTGTGGCTGGTCCTGCTGAGCTGGCACTTCAGCGAGGTTTTGTCCTTGTCCCAATGAGCTCGAGAGCCTTTGGCCGGGTGGCACAGGCTGGTTTGGTGACACTGCCAGAGAGCGGGGCTGGCTGAGGGTCCTGGACATCAGGGATCAGCTGGAAGTGGCTGTGCCTGGTGCAGAGTGGTCACGTCACAGGCTGTGATCTCACTTCTCCTCCACTGTGCCACGTGTGTGCAAGTCCTGGGGATCTGTGCCCAGAAATGAGTTGCAGGAATTACCCTCACAAGGAAGTGACTGCGCAGAGCTCTTAGTCAGGGTTGTTTCCTTCTCCCACTCCCTGTGCACCTACAGCATCCCCTCCTGCTCCAGAGAATTAGGGTACTGTCATCCAGAAAAGTGTGTTAGCATTGGACTAGGTAATATTAGTTATTATTAGTAGTAATAACACTCAAGTAGGAGCAAACTTATAATTACACAAATTCATCTACATTTTCTCCTCTGGGAAAGGGCTATTCAAGGACTTGTTTTACACAAAGAAAACACCAAGCCTACATCTCTTTCTCCAAAATACCCATGTGCTGTTAGGACCACAGCTCAGCTTATAGAATTAGATATTTAAGAAATATTTATGAAATGTTTAATAATAGCAGCTAACTATATTATAACAAATAACATTAAAGAAAAAATATACAATAATAGCTAATTATCAGTAACTAGATATTCATTTGAGGGGGTTTCAGTTTGATTTCTTAAGGAATTAGCTTAGAATCAGCTTCAAAACAGGAACTGCAGGTTTCTAAGAAGTCTGGCAATTGTAATAATTTAAAAAAGATTAAGTAGGCACCTTATTAATTTATGTAGATGTGTAGATATATGTTGTGTATATATATATATGTTGTATATAATATATACCTGTGCATGTGTGTGTGTATATATATCTATTTACAGACAGATTTATCAAAGAAAAAAAGGGCATTTTTTTTCCCAAGATGTGCTCAGGTGGCTGCAGATAAGCAGAATCTGAAATTTCCTTTTAAATTTCCAGCCCTACCTGTGATCAAACCCTCCAGGAGGAAACGTTTGTCTTGCTTTTCCATCACTGTGCAGTTCAGAGTCAGCTGCTTCCCCAGCCAGCTGGCTGTGCTGAGCCCTGCAGAACAGGGAGCTGTGGTGGGGGAATGGGCTCTGCTGGGGCTCTTCCTCTTTGTGTTAAATAATCCAGATTTTACTGGGCTGAAAGGGAAAAAGTGACCATGACTGCTGCTGGCAGGGCAGGCAGGGCCATGAGTTAGGGCTGAGCTGCCTCTGCTTATTTCCAGTGACCATGTAATACAAAAAATAGCATATTAACCCATGGGCTTGTGTTTGTGCTGAGCCTGAGCTAGCAGATGCTCTCGCAGGATGACCAGGTTACTGGACTGCTGCACTGAGCAGAGCCAGGAGAAAGCCCTAGCAAGTTCCTCAGCACACTGAGCTCAAACCTGTTGCTACAGAGTCCTTAAAAGCATACACTTGGTTATGGGGATGCTTCACCAATGAAAGCTTAGGTACCTTCAAGTTTTGTTTTCTTTTTAAAAGAAGAAATACGCAAAACTGCACAAATTCAGAGCTGTTAAGCATGGGCACAACTCCTTGTGAGCCACCCACAGGCCAGGGACCATTACCTCCACATTTCCTCAGGACTTCACCCAGCAGCTTTCAAGGAAAATAGGTGATTAACTGTCACCTTATCAGTGCAGAGAAGCTAGTAAGTCTTGAATTATGTTGCATAAATATTTGAAACATAAAAGGATTAAAGAATTATTGACAGGCAGCCAGGCAAAGAACCTGATTTTCACAAAAAGCGGGCAATTATGTAATTGAATTATAATGCAGAAATATACTGAACAGACTGTTTTGGAAACCAATAGTTTTGCAATCTCTCAAGTTTTCCTTCAGCTCTTCTGCAGCCCAGGTGCTGACTTCTTCCTCCTGAAGTGAAGCCATTTTAGACTTCCCCTTAGTAAGCAGTAGGGAGCATTGCAAGAGAAATGATAATTTGGCCCAGTGTTGCTTTCCATGATCACAGTTTATTTCTCTGTTTAGCTTATGGTTTGGCTATTGTTTAAGATTTGCAATTTCAGAAAACTAAATTCCCAGACAAGAAGTAACTATTTGGTGCCAACAACATGAAGAATGTGGGGACTTGAGAATAATCATCATAAACTCAAAGGTGTTAATACTGTTAGGAATTCGTAACTTGCAGTGAAAAGCAAGGGAGAAAAGATCACAGGAGAAAGGAGCTTTGGATGAAGCAGCCACTTTGAGCAGGACCTCAGAGGTGCTCAGGGCATCTCAAGGTGCTGCTGGGGAGGCAGAGAGATCGACATCCCCCAGGCTCCCTCTAGGCACTCCACAAACATGTAACTAATACAAATTAAACCCACGTGAGCTGTATTTCTGACCCAGACTGGATTTATGCAGTTCTTAAACAGATACTGAATCCACCGGTGAGGAAAAGGATATCCCCATACAGTACAGTTTGTTTCTGACCAAATGGTTTTATCCTGACCAAGCCTGAAAATATCTTTTAAAGTTCATCAATACCTTTCAAAATATCTTGAGGCAGCCACATTCAGGATGTGAATTAGCTTTTCATCTGCAGTTTCAGTCAAATAAACTATTCCAGTTACTAGCCTTGCACAAACTGGACTGAGAAATTAAAATGCCCTGGGGCAGTAGCCTGAGCAGAGCTCATTTTATTCCAGCCTAAACCATCCACACGGGAACCAACACTGAGTGAGAAGTTACTTGGCTGCACTGCTGCATTTCCCTATGCACACCAACCAGCCTTTGCTGCAGTTTCCCTGTCCCTCAATACCTTGCCACACATTAATTTTCAGTATTTCTGTGTATTAAAAGCTCTCCCAGAGCATAAGATCAACTAGAAGGGAAATAGCTTTAATCTTCCAGGTCCCCACTGCCACCTTCAGCAACAAAATTCAAATAGGTTACATAAGTGTAGTATTCCAGTAGGTTTTCTGTCTTCACAGTTAACTCAATCACCACGGCAGTATTCTTTCACCACCAGCATTGCAAGACAGCATGGAAAGAGTTAAGGACAGCTGTAAAAGTTGCTGAGAGAAATAAGCAGTCAGAAGACAAATAAAGTTCTCAACTATTAGTATTTATTAAAAGCTTGATCGAAGTAGTTTTATTCCCAAGTTCTGTTTACAAAAGTCTAACAATTTCCCCAGGTAGTCAAAGATTAATAAAAGAACTGAGATGGCATTACATTAGTGCATAGAAAGCAAATCTGGTCTATAAAAAAAGTTAAAAAAAAAGAAACTCAGGATGTGTAAAATTTAGGTTTTAAATACATGAAAGCAATTGCTAGTATGGCAGGCACAGATTTCACAAGTTTTTACTGCACACAACACGAAGTTGTTAGATGCAATACTGTTCTCTCGACTGTAGGGTTTTTTCCTCCTAGAGAAGCAGAACCACTCCCTCTGCCCCGAACTAGGACGTAGCAGCCTCTTCCCCCTGCTCATCAGCTGAGCCACTTGAAGATGAACCATCCCCCAGCAGCTTTTGCAGTTATGTGTGCAGCTACAAGAAAATGCTCTCACAATAGCTGCACGTGCTGTGCAGCCTCCCTCCTGCTGCTTGGGGTCAGGGACACCTCGAGTGCCTAATGCTGCGTCACACCTTATTTTGCCCTAACGATTTGATCCAGTTGCTTATTACAAGCTCATTTGCAACTGCCACAGAGCAAGCACACCCAGCTGGAGACAGCTCTGTGCAGGGAGCATAGAGGAGCTGCCCAGACTGGGTGGTGCATATCCAAGCCAGAGCGGCCAAAACAAACATCCTGCACCTACAGAGGAATGTGTAAGAAATCTAAGGCAGGCAGAGCTGGGCCGTAGGCAGCTCATGCCAAAGCTGCTTTTCTTTTCATCCAAATTAGAACTTTGCTGAACCAGTTTGACCAAAGTTTCTTGGAAAAAAGTCAGTGGTTTAACTGAAAAGCATGCAGAGATTTGGCAAGTAACTTCCAAGCTTTATTACGGCAACAGTACATCTGCCTCCATTTTAAAGTTCTGTACTTCCTGTTGCCTTGGGGACACTAACAAATGCTTGGAAGGAGAATTTCAGAAGCACAATGAGATTCCTTTGCCGAATTCCATAGCCTGCTATGCTGTGAGGCATTCTAGCCCTTGCTTCCACTGTACTCAGTACATCCTGTACCTTCAAACATGGTGTTAACGCTCCAAGGTTTTGCTGTAGTTAAGACACAGAAGGTGAGCAGAAAAAGAGAAAAGATCCAACCAAAGCAAACAAAGAGCATGAAAAATAAGTAACAGCAGTTCAGGTCTATCCAAGCAGTACAGATATGAGTTCCTGCAGAGCAAGCACACAGCCAGAGAAGGAAAGGAAAACAAATGACAGAATACAGCCCTTACAGGCAGAACAAACATACTGGTGCCATGGAACAACAATCCCTGAAAGATACTGAATTCTTTTTGAACTTATTGTGGGGAAATCGTGTGAAAGGTTAGTAAAACAGATGCATCATTATGTAAGTCAGGTCTGATTATCCATTAACTGCTTGTCTCCATTTACCAATTCCAAGCAGCACTTTTATGCTGGAATCCCCAATTATCACAGCTGTTGTACCTTACAGCCCCAAAGTGTTTTACTTGGATTACTTATCTAGTGATTAGTAGTAATCTTTTGGACTAGGTACCCAAGTCCACTTCATCTGTTTGATCCAAATCTCCAACACATTGTTAGTCAGGTACCAAGTACCCTGACCCACCTTGCTGCTGGGTGCAGGCTGCAATGGTGGGGCACTCAAGGATTGCAAAGTGTCATTCTGAACAAGTTTACTTTCAAAATTTGGCTACTGAATGTCTTAACATGATCAGAAAACATTTATGTACGTGTTTGAAAGAGCTAAACAGCTAACTGGTTCCCCAGAATAATCTGTTTCTGCTTGCCATTAGAAAAAACTGTGTGCAAAACTTATGGGGAACCCAACATTGGATTCTTTTGTTTATGCCTTTTCAAGGTTCAATGTGATTTTGTTCACACGATTTCTTCTTCCCGATATAGTTTTTCCTGGTTTACAGAATGCACCAGAATACCATTAACTGTTACCTGGTATTTGTGCTACCCGATCTACAAATCTTTTTCAACAAAATAAGCACCAGGAAAGTAGTATTTTAAGGCTTAGATCAGTTAAAAAAGTAAACCTGCAGCTGAATTTTGCTGTACTCTTCAGAAACAAGTAGTTGAGTATTTGCTTTGCAACTTGCTAACATACTCAATTAACAATGATCCTTTTTGATCCCACCAGGACTATATATATATAGGTTTTGCCATAAACTTAACATTAATCCAAAGAACACAGAGACATAGCATTGAACTTGTGTTTTAATGGTCTCAAATTCTGTGACAGATTTTTGGTCAAGTTTCCATTTTAAAAAATTCATCAATTTTAAAGACTAATAACTTAAACTGCCACGAAACAAATGGTCCACAAACATTCCTTTCCTTCTGAAGCTTTTACGATGCATTGTAATCATTAACCAGTCTTTAACTATTGAACTTAAATGGCCAATTGAGACAAACAGTTCTGAGACCGTTCTTCCACCACTGATTAAGACTGAGGTGGCAGCTGGTGTACAGAATTTTCATTTAGCCTTCTGGGCCTTCTGGGCAGACTTTGTGACCTTGCCAGCTCCTCCAGCCTTCTTGTCAACCGCCTTGATGACACCGACAGCGACCGTCTGCCTCATGTCGCGCACGGCAAAGCGACCTGCAAACAGAAACATGGTTTATGGCTTTTTTTTCTAGGGATATGTAACTCACAGTACTGTTCACACAGCAGAAACACACGGCCTGGGTCAGTGGGCAAATGGGACTACAAACTGCACCACACTGGGACAGAGACACCACCCTCTGCAGAGTATCCCTGTACCAATGAAGTTTTAGTTCCAACTTTCTATTCAAGTCACAGCTTTCAACAGCATTTCACACACTGCATCCCCATACTAGAGATCGAGGAGTCTTTCCCAGAGGTCACTACTGACACACTTGAGGAGATGCCTTACCGAGAGGAGGATAATCAGAGAAGCTCTCAACACACATGGGCTTGCCAGGGATCATATCAACGATGGCAGCATCTCCAGACTTCAGGAATTTGGGGCCATCCTCCAGCTTCTTGCCAGAACGACGATCGATCTTCTCTTTGAGCTCAGCAAACTTGCAGGCAATGTGAGCAGTATGGCAATCCAGCACAGGGGCATAGCCAGCGCTGATCTGGCCAGGGTGGTTCAGGATAATAACCTAGGAAATTAATGAAGCCAAGTTAACAGCAGTATAGTTTTGAACACTTATGTGCCTTTCAAAGGTAGCAGTTTCACGAGACTTGCTTCAAGCAAATGTCTCATTACACAAGTCTGTGTCACTCAATAGCTTAGCCTGCAAGCAAAGAAAGAGCAGCTTATGTTTCACAGTTCAGAGCGACATTTCAAACATCCCCAGCAGCTGCAAGAAATACCTGTGCAGTGAAGCCAGCAGCTTCCATTGGAGGATCATTCTTGCTGTCACCAGCAACATTGCCACGGCGAACATCCTTCACAGACACGTTCTTAACATTGAAGCCAACGTTATCACCAGGCAGAGCTTCGCTCAAGGCTTCATGGTGCATCTCAACAGACTTGACTTCAGTTGTTACATTGACTGGGGCAAATGTAACCACCATGCCTGGCTTCAGCACACCAGTCTCCACACGGCCAACAGGCACAGTACCAATGCCTGCAAAGAGAAGCAATGTCAGTTATCCAGCACAATCCATATATGGCCTTATGGGGAAAAACAACACTTGAGACAAACATTCTATGTTTCTGTCTTGGGAAAAAAGTGCTTGGGCAAGTGCCTGGACTTCTGGCCCAGACATCAGCTGCTGCTGTCTGGTAGAAACCTTACAGAACACACATACCGCCGATTTTGTAGACATCTTGAAGGGGCAGGCGCAGAGGCTTGTCAGTTGGACGAGTTGGTGGCAGGATGCAGTCCAAGGCTTCGAGGAGGGTGGTGCCACTGGCACTGCCATCCTTTCTGGTTATCTTCCATCCCTTGAACCAGGGCATCTGTAACAAAAACAAACCCAGGCATGAACTGACTGACAAACTTAATGGCAGAAGGCTAGAAAAAAGTGGTATATCTTAGTATTTCCCCTATATACTGTTGCAGAGTAAGAATAACCGAAGTGCCAGGGTTTCATTTTGGACCTTGGCACTTTCAATTACAACTATTAAAACACACGTGCACTTGCTTTTTGCATAACTTATCTCAATAATCCCCCTAGTTTCATGCCTTAATAGAAACCAATGTCAAACCTACGTTAGAGCTAGGCTCCAGCATGTTGTCACCATTCCAACCAGAAATTGGCACAAAAGCTACAGTGTCTGGGTTGTAGCCAATCTTCTTGATGTAAGTGCTGACTTCTTTGACAATCTCTTCGTATCTCTTCTGGCTGTAAGGTGGCTCAGTAGAATCCATCTTGTTGACACCAACAATCAGCTGTTTCACACCCAGGGTGTAGGCCAGAAGGGCATGCTCACGGGTCTGCCCGTTCTTGGAAATACCAGCCTCAAACTCACCAACACCAGCAGCAACAATCAGGACAGCACAATCGGCCTTGGAAAGAAACAAGTAAAAACCACTCATTATAAATCTTCTACACCCATCAAGGTATTACAGGAACCCCCCCTGTGCCAACCAACCAAGGAACAACCTGCCTGAACTCCCCAAATCCTCAGTTCTGTCTACATACCTGAGAAGTTCCAGTGATCATGTTCTTGATGAAGTCTCTGTGTCCAGGAGCATCGATGATGGTGACATAGTATTTGCTGGTCTCGAACTTCCAGAGGGAAATATCGATGGTAATACCACGCTCACGCTCAGCCTTCAGCTTGTCCAGGACCCAGGCGTATTTGAAGGAACCTTTGCCCATCTACAGTTAAAAGAAAACCAAGTTTGGTTTTTTCCCCTATTTTAAAATTAATAAAAAACTAGGCAACTACATTTCCTTCACAAAGATCACACACTGGCTCAAGAGCAAAGCCTAAGAATAGCAACTGGCTTAATACTGTTAAGAGCTGCTGCTCATAAAACAAGCAACAAGATACACTTGGCCCTACTAGTGAGAAATGCCAACTGTTTTTTGCTATTGACCTGTTGACAGTCCAGGCCTCTCGACAACGTGTTAATTGCACTAATGCATCTTTACTAGAGCTCTTGAGCCTAAGTCCCAGTATCAAGTGTCCCCTACAAATTCAGGCTTACACTACTACAATCCTTGTGGTAGTCACCATTTTAACTGCCACTGCCCAGCATTTGTTAAATTTCATCCCATAATGTCCTCAAGACCTGTGCTGTTGCAACACAAGAAAAAAAACCTAGTACCAGTAAAAGTCAATTTTCAAAGCACAACTTCTTTAACTCCATCCTCACTACCGACTGAGCCTGGCAACTCCACTTACGGTGCCAGACGTAAAGTATCCAGATGTAGGTTTAGCCTAGATTTCCCTTCACGATCTGAGCTTCTCCAGCTCACACAATGGTGGATTGAGCACTTGCTCAGAACAACTGCAGCCCCAGTGCCACCCTGTGGCCACGCCACACTGAGCCCCTTGTTCGGCTGCCGGGGCGGCCCAGCCGCCTCCCTGCGGCCACGGCGCTCCCTGCAGCTTCGCTTCGCCGCCGAGGCCCTTCCTCCCTCCCCACACGCGCGGGGCCACACACCTCGGCCGCCTCCTTCTCGAACTTCTCGATGGTTCTCTTGTCGATGCCCCCGCATTTGTAGA